GCGTCAGCATGAATCTTCCAGTAAAGCTAATCGACAGCTGGTCGTCTTCTGGTGGAACCGACCTTCGAATGCCTTCACCCAACACTTCCCCTCGAAATGGGGGTAAGCTCAACACAGTTTGTCTGTCCTAAACTCGCGCCTGCTTCGAGGCGAAGTGCCGGCGAGGGCGCATCATCTCTTCACCCATTCCTACTCATCGTCCCTTCCACGGAGTCGGTTTGCCTCATCATTTCCATCGGCTCTCGTCTCTGTCGGGCTGTTTGGATGAGAAATGCCATTCACCACCACCCAATGGTGGTACAGACTTGGCGGTCAGTCGGTCAGCTGGTCGGTCGGTCCGCCTGGCTGCACTCGTCTACGCCCCAAATGAACCAAAGTCAACCAAAAAGTGTGACATTCTACACAGCCTTAAATCAGGTCACGCCGGTGGGGGATAACAGTCAGCCGAGAGGAGTGGCCTCCACTCTTGGTTGTTAGGTCACAGTCAACTTGGTCGTTGTATGCGCATTTGTGTGTATGCCTGGGGTGACTAGTGCGCTATTATGGATGTGGGCATAAGGTTGTGTATGGATGGATGCATGCATGCATGCATTCACGCACAGACGTGGAAGTAGATTGAAGTGAGGTTGAAGGTCTTAGGAACGAATTAAATCCAACTAGTGACCTGAATTGAGAAGGTAAAATCCCCCAGAGACGAAGGGGGCAACTTGAGATGGATGAATTAAAGGGTCACTGGGACGCCAACAGGTAACCTCTGATTGACGGTGTCTGCATGTCTGTCTGTCTGTGTGTATGTCTGTTTGTGTGTGTGTGTGTATGTGTATGCAAATGGCGTAGGCGGATCGGGCAGCTGACGTGGCAAGCGGGACATCTCAGTACAGGCATGGGGCGTTGCTAGCCTGCCCTGGAGGACAGCATGTGTGCCAGGACGACTCGATTCCACTCAACGACAACTCAGTTGCAGTAACCGGGACAGCCAATGGTTACTGCTGGGCACGAGGTGGGCAGGGGGCCGAGGCGAGCAGAGACGCAAGCAGGCGAAAGCGCCAAAGGTCAGGCCAAACCTCTACAAAAGTAGGGATTATTTTCATTACTTTGCCACGCTGTTCGTTTTCACCTCCCTTTGCACACACACAAACACACAGATACATTCACATACAACAGACAAGCTCACATACAATAGACATACATACATACATACATACAAGCACAATCACTAGCCCCCAGCTCTCCCGGATGGACACAAAATGGCAGACAGACAAGCAAAACAAACAGAGATGCATGCACCTGACTGAATGGACAGGAGAAGTGAGTAAAAGGCCTCTGGTTGAAAATTAGCAAAGTTGAAAGAAGTCGTTAGGGCCTGTGGGAGGCAGAACCAGCAGTCACGGCCGGGGGTGTCTGAATAATTGGAGAAGTTGGTGGATGCTCCAGAAAGATCGCCTATACGTGCCTGTGTGTGTGTGTGTGTGTGTGTGTATATGTGCTTTGGGAATAGGGCAGAAAAAGGTGGAAAAGGAGACAAAGAGCTGCACAATTGAGAGTTATGTCATCAAGGTTGTCTGGATGGGAAGGCAGACGAAAATGGGGCTTAGAGAAGAGACACGACTCGGCCAGGCTGACAGGCTTGTTGCGGGAAAAGAAATCGAGAAAAGATGGTTTGACCGCGAGGTAGGCAGAGAAGGGTTGGATGTCGTCGGAGAGGAGGGGTAAGGGGGGTGGGGGTGGGGTGAAGCGGTGATTAAAACCTAACGGGTCAGGTATCAGAGCGATTATGAGAGGAGCGGGTCTAAGAGAAAGAGACACGGCCAGCGAGGCGAAATCAGTAGTCGGGACTGAGGCAACGATGATCTCGAGGAATGAGGGAGGAAGGGAGGGAGAGAGAAAGAGTCTACGCTCTGCAAACAAGTATCGCACGCACAAATGCACAAACGCACACAGGCACACAACCACACAGGCAGACACAGAGAGAAATAGGTAGAAAAGGTGGAAAAGGAAGACCAGAAATCAAGAGAGGCCAGGCCAACCTCGCCTCTGGGGCAAAGTCGAGATAAGTGACCTTGAACTAAGGGCTCAGAGATGTGTGTCTCGGTGTAGGTGTGTGTGTGTGTGGTAGGCAAGGCGAGGCAAGGCGAGGCGAGTAGACGAGCTGGAAGCCTTGCAACCCAGTCAGGTCAAACCGGCCTAAGGTCTTGTGTTAAAGCAGACGATAGCCGGTCTCAAGAGTATGCAGACCAAGTGACTAGCTGTCCCGAAACACGATAACACATCCATCGACAAACACAAACACACAAACACACAGACAGACAGAGTGAAAGGGAGAGGGGGAGAGAGAGACTGAGACGAAGAGTAGTGTGGCAGTGACAAAGAGTTTTGGGGCGAGGTCAATGGGCCGATCTGGTGGAGATCGAACGATTTGGTTTCGCGCGGGACGAAGCCGCCTCTTGAGCACTGCCCGGGCCGGCCTGGCCCGGGAGCAAAGCGGAGTGGAGGGGAGTGGAGGGGAGCGGAGGAGAGTAGAGGGGAGCGGGCCGGCCAACTGACGGGCGAGATGCGCTCTGTTGACCTGGCCCGACGGGCGAAACGGCTGAACTCGGTCGCGTCTGCCAGTCAGGCCGTCCGGACATGACCTCTGCGCGAAATGACATAATAACGTCAAGTCTGGAGAACGGCGAGAACGGCGAGGACGGCGAGGCCGGCCGGATGGAGACACACCCATGGACCGACGCACTGACAGACTGACAGACTGACAGACAAGCCGGGAAAGGCTGATGTGGGAATCGATGAACGAACAAGTGGACGACTGGACGGGTGGAGGGGGCGCCCGGTGACGGAGGAGCAATGGGTCCCGGTGGTCAAGGCGGGCGG